TTCGATCCTGTACCGGTATGTTGCTGAATCTCAGGCTTGGCGACCACTTCACACGCCACAAGCAAACATCATGGCTGAAGCCAAGCTTCGACTCTAGCGCTTTGCGAATGTCTGAAACCCCCCGCGTGCGTGCGCTTGGCTGCATATTCACTCGACCCCTGCAAAGCGGCTGGGGCAACTGGGGTGCCAGCGAGATCACGAAGCTGCCTGGGATGCGGTCAGACCCGAAATGCCCTGCCCCTATGGCGAAAGATGGGTGTTTGCCTTTTTTGAGGGTGCCCTTTTGGAACTGATTCAAGAGAAACCAAAAAGAACACCTCCATTTTGGGGCGTCCCCTTTTTTGAGACAAACCCAAATGGTTCTGGATGAGATCCGCAATCTCCTGAGCATTTGGCTGTACGGACACAATGAATCCTAAACACATGCGCCCCGGTGCCCTTGCCAAGCTGCCGCGGTGTGGATCCACAGGCACGTGGGTTTGTGTTGGGTGTTGTGACTTGTGAGAATGGTTTGAAGGAAAACCAGAAAGAAACCAGCCATTTTGGGGGTACCCCTATTTTTGAGACATACTCAATCTGACAAGGCGCATCGCCCTCCACGCTTCTGTGCAGCCTGCTGCCATTTGTCCAAGCGCTTCCTTGGAGAAAAGCACATGGACTCAAGGCAAATGAGGAAAAAACCCGCCACTGACCATAGTGGGTGGAAGGGTATGGCCATGGAACATGACTGGACAATCCAGGAACCCCATTCTCCCGGAGGAACCCTTCACGAAACTCTTACCACCCTCAGAATCCGCCGAGCCGAAATCCCCGAATCGGCCCTAATCCGTCGTAACCCGTGCCCTGGCTCCTTGTCCCAATGGGAAGAAAGGATCTGCTCAAAAATCGGGTTGAAACACCGGCTGTTGCTAGAGGTTCCCGTTGGCCTTGTGAGGCACCGAATTTATGAAGAGACTCAGCTGAACGGGTCATGTTTGCCATTGCCATAAGGCCATCATGAAAGGCTAACAGGATTGATCCGTAGCCCGTAGTTGGTCACCGCAACAAGGGAAACGTCTAACACCTGGCATAAAGATGCGGATTGTTTGAACGCAGCTTGAGCAGCCTGCAAGAGAGCTCCGAGTGTCTGCAAGGTCATATTGAGGATCAATGTGATCGCGAAGCGGAAGCCCTGGGCAAAGGAGCCCATTGTCATCCCCACCTCGGCGACAACAAACATGGGTGCCGCCCAGTGGCCTTCAGGCTGCGGCTCAATGCTCAACATGGAGTGCGTGCAATACATGAGCCAGCCGGGCTGCCATCCACATGTGTAGCAAACTGCTTGTGCTTCCATGGGTTTCAGCCCGCAAGGTTTCTGGATTGAGGCCAGGGCAAAGTAGTCCGCGAACTTGTCAGGCATTGGCTTGCCGACATGCCGCAACCTTGCCGTGCGATCCGGTTCGCTGTGCGCTGAAAGCTTTGATCCTGTTTCCATGGGGGCTGCGCATGGCTACGCTCTTCTTTGCTAGTTGGCATCGACGGTTCCTAAGACACGGGGAGGCCCCTTGTATCCAAGCACAGCACTACGACCACTGTAGAATACGAGCAACGTTGCCGCGGAATCTGGAAGTCCCAGGGAAGCAACATTTCACAACCATCAAAGTTCCACATTGCAACGCAATCACGGTCACCAGGTCACTCGTTTTCACATGATCCCATTCCGGACAGAGGCATTCAACAAACAAAGCAGCACATGCTGCCGACCTCCCCCACCAAACCAACATCGTTACGGGTTCTTAAAGGTTCTGAGAATGCTCCTGTAGGGTCAAGGGTCTTAAGTCTTAAATGGTCCTATCTCTTCCGAAGCATTCTCAAACGGCGCTGGCTCTTAACTCAGCGTCAAACAAAACGCAGGCCAAAGGCCAACAGCAGCACCGCAAAGGAGCAGTCAACAACCCCAGTCACTACAAAAGCTACAGCGCATTTCGGCTTAAACACTCAGGCCAGTCGGGGTAGGCTTATGTTGGTTGCCGGTGCCTGTGAGTTAAATCACACTCACCTCTCGAATCGCCGGGGTGGTTTGAAGCATATCCCGAACCTTTGACCACCCCACCCCAACCACCCCCTCACCACCCTGAACCCCCAGTCGCCAGGGGAACAGCAGGGAACAGCAGCCGCCTTTTTTGAGGGACAAAGCACGTTGAACATCCGGGCACCGGGTGTCTCAAACAGCCCTCCGCCGGACTCGCTCGAGGAACGTCTTGGCCACATCCAGCTGGTGCGTGGCGGCCGCCGAGGCCACTCCCGCCAGGCCGCCAGCCCAGAAGGTAAAGGACTTGTGCACCTCGGGGGGGGCGGCGGCGGGGGGGGGGGGGGGACTATTTTTTTTGTTGGTTTGTGGTTAAACCACTGGTCTGGGTTTCAAGCGGGCCACTTGAACAAGTTTGTGTGGGTTGAAGAGGGTGTCTCCGTTTGACGGGTCCCTTTGGGTTGCTTCAAAGGGAAGCCAAAAGGAAACCAACCATTTTCGCAGCCCCGTGTTGAGACGCCCAACCTTTTTCATCTCAGCATCTTTAAACAAGGTTCCATCTCTGGTGTCCACCCTACCAAACTCGCGGGTGGGCCCCGGGGCAGGAACAGTTTTTCCCGTGCCCCATGGACGCTTAGACGTGGCTTGGTAGTGGAAACCGTGTTAAAAAAGCTGTAAGTAAGGGAGGCAGGGGATGAGTTGCTCACAAAAGGGCATGTATGTATGCATAGTATAATACGGTGTATATATAGTATATGCATATCATATTTATATGCACATATGTAATACATGATATGGACGTTGCGTTGGTCGCTTTTTGCGGCGATTGCGTTTGCCATGTTTTTAGGCTATAGGGTGGTGCTCACCAAATTGGGAGAACAATTGCAGACTTGCAAGTCAATCCCCGGTCGCTTTTTTCTTTCTACTTTCGATTCAGCAAAAGGGTCGCGGTATGCGACCTGAACTTGCAAACTTCTCAGCTCTGCCGGAAGCCGGCAGTCTTCATTCATGGCTTGATGGTCATATTGTGGGAAATGGTGGGCTGCCTTTTTGGACGGTGGCTAAAGGGGACCAAAGCAAGCAACCCAAAATTCAGGGCCCCATTCTGAGAAACCTCCACGCCAAAATAGATGAGCCAAGCCGTGCTACTCGGCACACTGACCAATCGGCTCAAACCCCGACGCAGCAAGCCCAAGAATGGGAGGATGTATGGAGATGGTGCTGCGCGTGCTGCGCGTGCCAACTTGTTGCATCGATGCTGAAGGCCGGCTATGGCTATCCCGACGTTTCAGCCAGCCATTCGGCCACCCTCTCCCCTTCCCCTGGCCCCTTTGAGTGCCACGCGCTTTCAGGGAGCTCGTCATCGCCTGGCCCAAAGGCGACGCATCGATTCGAGACATGGATCCCACACTGAGGTAACTTGCAAGGGCTACTCACCAACATAAATCCTCAAAAAGACACATCCAAGCGGCTTTGGCAAATCGCATCCAACAGCTTGCCTTTTCAAAGATTCGGATTCTCTAAGTTTGCTGGGAAAGGGTGGCTGCTTAAAGTCTCCAGCCTAACTTGTAGCTCGGGCAGTTGCCAGCTGGGTTATGGTCAAATGAGCAACACCTAATGATGCTCCCGGGAATATGTGTTTCTGGGAAACGAGCCCTCGCTTCCACAGACCCTTATTTGGCCACCTGTCCTTCAGTTCTAAATCAGCAGATGGGAGTTGTACCCGCCTCCGAAGACCGGAGAGACCGGCGAAGGGGGCTCTCTGCGTTGCTTCCTTCGGACCTAGCCGCGCCGATACGAGTGCCCACGGCTTCAAGAAGCAGAACTCCCAAGAGTTGGATTTGTCCCCAGTCCATAACTTGGCATGATGCCCACAGATTCAGAGAGTAAATGTCTGGCGAGTGGCCCGCCGCAGCGCAAGAAAGGCCACCAGAAGGGCCAAACACACCACCAGCGCAGTGAGGATCATGGCGCAAGGCTCCAGGGAGTCTATGGCTTTGGGGGAGGGCCCCTGTGGTCAAAGGACTGAGGCCGGCTGGCCGGCTGAGAAGTCCTGGAAAGCTTGGGGTGCAGACTTGCTGCATGTGTGGCAAAGTTTGATCCGGAACTCTGGTGGGGGCTTTCTGCAGATTTGTGATGAGAAATTGAGAACTGGAAACACGTATCTGTTTCGTTGGGCACCTGGCAAACAACCACGTCTCAGTGTCATGCATTGTGCGTTGAGCATACCGGTGGTGGCCTTTTGCACAGTCGAACAATGAGCACCCACCATTGTTGAGGGTGCTCCCAATGTCATGTCATGGCCACATGGACGTGAGAGACAAACGCTTTCTGCGCAACGCCTGAAGCAAGCGAGTGGTAAAGGCCCGACGGCCCAGCTGAAACTTCAGCTTTGCTTAAGCAGGAGTCGGCGTGGCAGGGCGCGACTTGCTCCCTGAAAGCCCGCTGAGCAGCAATCTGACCCATGTGCAGGTTCGATTGCACAAGCTAACATCCAACAAATGTAAGGGACTAAGGCCTCACCAAAGACGTGGAAGAAACACAAGGACAAGCACTGTCTCAAACCAAATCCCTTTGCGCAGTCAATCGCTTTCATTTGCCCAGGTAAATCCTAAATTGAAATTGGGACCTTTTTTCCCAGTGGCAACAGTGACCCTGGCCTAAAAAAAACAACCAGCCCCGTCTTTTCCGAAATCGCCAGCAGCCCCCAACAACTATTTATGCTGAAACTCGCACGCACTATCTAAAAGGCAGTGGTTGGCGGGTGCTGGCTGGGATTGACAACTTTCCGTGAGTCCACAACCCCGTATATACCAAACAAAAAGGGACTTCGTGTGTGTCAGCAAAGGGCTTAAGCCCCAGCTCTTCCAGTTACCGCCATAAGATCCCACATGATGTCCTACCTCTTGGTTGAAGAAGCCTTCCCGCCAAAGGCTTGGAAGCACTCGGACACCTACGAACCACGTCCCATCCAAGTGCCGCCCAACAGCTCCTCCACACTGAGAGGCGCCAAGCCGAACTCCGCTGCGCGGAACTCGAACCAAAGCTTGAGGTTGTTGTTGGTGGCCTGGACGTCCGATTTAAGTCGAGTGAGTGGATTGCACCGGGTTTTTCCATCGGATTCTTGCAGGAAAAATGCTAGACAAGTCATGGACTTCGGGTTTGCCAGCATGGTCTGCCCCACCAAGTGTGCGAAGGTTGGTGAGCTGAAACTTGAGATGACGGGTGTGCAATGCCACGCTTCGCTACGCAAGCTCTGGAATTGCCCCATGGGCCTGCCTGAATGTTGCGGGTGATGAAAGGCTCCAGAAACTGGCGCAAAGGATGCCTAGGCATGTCGCGTACAGCCAGTCGTCGGAGCCCGTGTTTGCCAAGCAGGCCCACGAGTACCATCCTATCGGGCGCCCTGCAAAAAGCTCACTGCAGCTCCGTCGCTTCAGATGAAGCCCTGAGGTCGCGGCTGCTTGAAGCCTTTCAACCTTGCATCAGGAGGCACCGGACCAAGCTCAAGCCATGTGGGTGAATGCTTCGCATAACCTGACCTGTCACTTGCTTGTCCCCGCCTTTTGCGCACCTGCCACTTTGGCTCAAGCAAATGTTTCGCAGGAGAGTGGCAGTGGCCCTTGCAAAGACTGAATCCCTTAGCCCGCTAGCCCGAATCCTGGAAGCTTCTGCCCTGTGTCCAAGATATGGTGCACCGATTGGCTCACGAGCCACGCAATATCAATGACCGAGCGGACTTTTTGGGGGGCGTCTCCCGAAAAGGTGAAGGATCTTCCAAAACATGAAGCCTATCAAATTAACCAGAAGGTTAAACAAAATCTGGGCAAGCTTCTATATGTCACAAGCTGGACACAAAATATTCCCAGGTAATAGACCTTAAATGTTGGTGACCCGTTGAGCTGGTTATAATTTGACCAGATTCATCCCGGGTCAGAACTCCAATAATGAAGGTCTACGCTTGCAAGAGCCTGCCCCAGAAGTTGAAACTCTTTCGCTGGTACCCCCAGCCACTACTTTTCTGGGCGCCTTGTCCGGGCCGTTGGCAAACAAATCAAAAGAAAGGCAGCCCAACGCTGGGGGCCGTGGCCCGCGCGGACAAACAAGCTTTTAACAAGTGCTCAAATCAACATTATTGACGCGCCGGGCAAAGCGTCACACCTTAAGCTGGGCAATCGATCCTGGGCGAATTCTTCTTCACATAGAAGCAAGGAATCTCCAGGGAAACTTCAGCAGATCGTTTTACACTTCAGCTCACAGTGTTTCTTCCCTGAATGGGTGTCGCTTTTTGACGGGGACCCGTTTTGGGGATGGCTTGGGAGACCACAAGGAGCAACGAATCCCTTCCGCCCCCCTCCCTCGGTTCCAGGGCAACGGCGCGCGCAAAGTCACGGCCTGAAGGGTCGGCGCCAGCTCCATGTGGATGGTCCTCACCTCAATCTGATTCCGACGAGCCAAGCGATGGTCACAACGGGACTCTTAGGGAGCCTTAGGGACCATAACCTAGGGGCCCTTGTATGGCTCCGAATCAGCATTTACTGGACTGGCGAGGTTGGATTGCCTTTTTAGTTTGTGTTGATCCCTTTGATGTCTGCTCGGGTCTTACTCGACAACACTAACATGTCTCCCTGGCGGGATCGGCTGCAATTCCTCGATGGATGCGCACGGAGCACGTGGCTATTAGAATTGAATCATCTGGCTCAATTTGGTTCTTCCCTGGGCACTTGTTTTTGCCCCATGTTCCGTTACAAACACTCAATTGGAAGCTTGTTCTGGTGTGTGTCCGCCAATGTCCCCTCATGTCCCACCAATGTCCGCTCATTATCCGGGAGAAACCTGGCCAACTCATGCCAAGTCAAGGCTTCCGCTCATTTCATTGGTTCCTCTCAAAAATCTGAACCGAGCAACGAAATGCCCAGAGCCCCAAGAAGTGAGCAAATGTAAGCTCTAGGTATTATGTCATGCCCCTGCTTGATCTGATGCTTTTCTCGATGTGGCGCTCCAAAGTCCCAGAGGTTCGCCCCTTTCGGCATTGGTCATGGCTCTTCATCAGCCACGGCCATTTGAGTGCTGTACATTGTCATCTCTTCTGAAAAGTCCTTATGGGTTTGTGGCAAGATAGGGGGGCCCCACAATGATGATGTTCCTTTTGGTTTTCCTTCAAACCCGAGTGAAAGGGTGCCTAAAAAACATCTCTCTTCTCTTTGAATCACCTGGGGCTGTGGCATGGACGAGCAACTGCGTCTTGGCCTCAGTGCCCGATAGCAGGGAAGCAGGGAGGAGTGAAGCCCCAAAAAACACGTGAAAATGCACTTGGAAAAGTCACCCCAAAAAAGGAAAATTGGAGCCACAGGACAACGGGGCTCTTTTCAAAGTAGCCATACTTATATAGAGTGTTTCACGCAGCACCTTCTCTCCAGCAAGCAATGGGATCGCTTCAAATAGTGAGAGATATTCTTCTCTATCTGTTGTGCTGGTTGTTTTCTGCTTCGAGAACTAGAGTTGGATTGAACAAACGCCTCTTTCGATTCCGATGCAAAAAACTCCAGCCCCTTGGCTGCAGCAGTGGAGCCTGGCTTTAGCCCACTAAGCCCATTCCGAATGTCCACAGGAAAGCTGAAGGAGCATCTTTGCTTCTAGCCCCTTACCCAGGCTTAGACCTTCACCGGAAATGGCTCCCGTGAAGGCTTCAGGGTCCAGCCCCAAACGGCAAGGCACAATCCTAGTGGATCGAAGTGCCTTCATAGCTGCGGTTGTTGGGGTATGCCTAGATATTCTTTGCAACCAATAGATGGCAGTGGCTGGCATTGGATTTGCTCAAGAAAATCCAATGCACCCCAGCACTAATCCCCTTTTTCATGAGCTCCGCGCCAGCAGAGAGGCGATGATGGCTTTCTCCGCAAAGAGCCGCCCTATGCCGGAACGGTTGCGATAGGGATTCCACTCGAACGTTGCTTTCTACCACCCCCTACTCCTAATACCTAGTTTTCTTAGGGTATTATGCCAACCCTCTACTAAAAAGGAAGTATTTGCAGTGCAGAACCATGTTTGTTTTCTGAAACTACCCTAACTACACAGAAGGGGCCATGGCCAAAATGACGGTTTTCGGATTGGCTTCTCAGCTGGCCTCATATGAGCCGCAGTTTAGGAAAGCCCCAAGAGGACATGGACAATTAGCTGTTGTCACCGTGATTTTGCGGGACAAGAACAGCGAGTTCCCTCATGTCCCTCATTGACCGGAAAAAGACTCCCCAATGGCTGCAAACGTCGTGGTTCTGGGAACCATTTCCGGTGCCAACATGGGCCACACCCGGCTACTTTCTCACTTCAGGGTTCCCTTGGTTTCAGAAACTGGGAATCCCAACACCACCTCATTCCCCGCAACAAATAACGTCCACCAGGCTTGGCTCGCTGACTGCGTGACTTACACCAAGGGCATTAATATTCCTTACCGAGGGTCCCCAATGCTTCCCCCTTCAAACACCATCCAGCAGAAGCACCCCCCCCTTAAACTTGGCCTTTAAACCAAAAATGAGATTAGTGGTTCAGGGGAACAGTGCAGATTAGATGAAACCATGGCCACACCAGGGAACAACAAGTTGCAAACACGTTTCACATGCTTGTCATATGCAATCGAAGGGCAGCCCGGGAGAACTCAAGGGAAAGGGCCCGCCCTTGCATGTGGACCGGGACTCCGGGACTCTATGCATTGCGGGATGGGGATCACTGGCGCAAGTGACTGCATTGGCTTGGAGTTCCACTAGGGGTCACGGGTCAACAAAGTGCTGGGTGGTTTGGGCCGGTGATTTTGCAAGGAAAACACCTGTGCTGACCGAAGTTCCGCGATTGCTTTGATACTTTGTTGCAAGATTTGCAGTTTGAAAAGCCAAATGCCTCTCAGTCCTCAGTGGTTCTGATCATCTGTTCCGAACACCCGCCTGACCATTCCTGATGCCGGCCTTTTGGGAACCCGTTTGACCTCAAAGCAAGGCAACTATACAATGATCCTATATTGTCGTCCTGCAACACGGATGGAAGCTGATGGGGGGGGGTGGGAATCTGCTTTCCTTTTGGGGGAGGTCCCTGGATTGGACAGAGAGCAACCGCCTGGGGTGAAGAAGGCTATATGTCGCATCCTCGCGGACACCCGCCTTTCAGCACGCTCCGCTCGAACACGGCATCTGCCAGTGGGTCCTGAGGATCTACATCCAACATCAACCCTTCATGATCTTCCGCGAACCTGTGCCCTTTACATCTAGGGAGAAACTTGTTCGACGGCTTCAAGGGCGAGCCACAAGGAGATAAGCCGTGTGCCTTTAACAGTTCGGTGAGACTCTCATTTAGACCATCGCCGGAGAGTTCAGCAATCCGTAAGGCACCTCCATTGGATCAGTCAATTCTAGTTACGGCTACTAGGTAACCAAACATTTGTTTAAGAGCGGTTGCCTTGTTTTCCTACACAAGGAAAGGATCCACTGGGTAGTGAGACAGCCGCTTGTCATTTCCGCCCATTTAAGGCCATGGCCCACGAATCCCAACGACTCGCGGGCCTGGGAGGTGTCGTACACCGTGCCGTTGTACTCCAGCCGAACCTCACGCGAAAACTATCCAGTGGCTCAATCAGCCACTCAATGCAGCCGCGAGGGAAAATGATCGCAGGGCCTGGGGCGTTCCCTCCGCATCTTGACCCTGTAGAACGCCTGAGGGCCTCGAGTACCCCGAAGCATTCGACTGGAAGCCTGGAAGCTCACCATTTGCAAACCTTTGAAGCCGCCACTTCGACATCGAACACCAGACCTGCAAGCGTATTGCCAAGGGGTCTTGAAGTGTTGCCCTCAAGGCTTGAGTGCAAAACCCGAAAAGAACGGTAGTCCGGAGCAAAGTTCTGGGCGGGGGTGCCCAAAGCCAAGCTGGCGTTCCCATCTAGCTCGGGCGCCCTCGTGATGTTCGACGTATTTGTGGCTAGACATGCATCACTTTGGAAGGCCTGATAACTTCATAGTTTTTGGCGAGGCCTCTATCATTTTCAGTCATGCGGTCTGAAGGTATGGAAGGTCAATTTGTTGTCCGTTGCACAAGGGGGCTGGTCCTCAATACCTCCAGGAACAAGTGCCTAAGCATTCCCCCAGTACAGGGTCCACTGGGAGTCTACTGAACTGACATCAGCACTTGGTCGACTAAGGTGGCATCCTCAGTTTTCCCTGCGAAATGGTGGTTCAGAGGCAAACCACCCCAAACAGTCATTCACATGCTTTTTGAACCCCGAATCCGAATGTAACCACTTGGGTTTGCTTGCATGGAATGCGAACCTGCCAAACGTCCCCAAGCTTCCTTGAGGTGGCGGCCGTCTTCAGCTTCGCGCCCTCCACGCTGAAAACGGCCTGCTGGGTGTCAGGGGAGAGGCTCGGGTGCCATCAGCCCGGGGCAAAAAGAACGACCACCAGGACCTTCGGGGCTTTCCACTACCCAAAATGGCAACACATGTTGACGCAGGTATGGACCACCCTTGGCAGGCAGGCATTTATCAACTCGTCCCGTTGCAACTTGGTTTAGTCATTCCCTCTGACATCAACACAATTGTGCCATCTGCTTCACCTTGGCATAGCAATATGGGCCTGGCAGTGGGTTCTTTGTGAAACCCTCATTGATATCAAAGTGGGACTTGCGCAATGACTACCAACGTGGGGGGATTTGATCATAGCTACTCTATCACTTTCAAGGGAACTTCACTACAGGTTAACCGCTGAAACGAAGCAAAGAAGAAGGAACCCACCTTCGTTTTGTAGAAATAGGCCACTCCACAGCCAGGCTCCACTAAATAGGCACTAGTCTAGTCACCAGTACTTGGGGCCTTTGGACATGGGAAGCACAGTTGTTGGAGGGTGCTGGTCTGAGGGCGTGATGTTTTTTTTTGTTTTTTATTTCCCTGGTTCCAGTTGGAACTGGGAGGGATACCATGAGTTCGACCCAAGAATCACAGAGAAACTGGTCCAAGCCAGCCCCCCCCCCAAAAGGAAAAAACTGAAGATAAAGTATAAGAGTGTTCCCGCCAAGACTCAGAAGTTTGGAGAATCTCCAGGATCCAGAAATGCGGGCACAAGGCCAGTCAGTCACCCGAGAATTCGGTCGGTACGTTATCGTTATGAGTCCCTGGGGTTTGGAACGCGCCAAGGCGCGGAACTTCGGGTCCGGGGAATTCCTTGGGAGCCGCCGCGGGCGTTTTTTTCTCGGGATCGGGAAAGGCCCGGGCCTTGCCACCGAGCGGTGCGAAGCCGGGCAGCGGCTGGTACCTGGACGCTGGCAACCAGCTGGAGGAGCTCATGCAAAAACGAAGCCGGGCAGGAAAGCAAGCTGGATCGATTAAGGGGGAACAAACACTGAAAAAGACATGTTGAAATAAACAAACTGTATGTATATATGTTCCAGGCCGTGAACCCGCCCCCCCTCCCCCCCCCAACCCTTTTTGTGGGGGTGGGGTGGGGTGGTGGGGTGGTGGGGTGGTTGGGTGGTTGGAGTGGTTGGGGTGGTTGGGGTGGTTGGGGTGGTTGGGGTGGTTGGGGTGGTTGGAGTTGGTGTAGGCTTGGTGGGTTGGTTTAGGGTTGGTTCGGGGTTGGTTTGCGGTGGGTTTCGGGTGGGTTTGGGGTTTGGGTTGATTTAGGCTTAGGGTTGGGGTTAAGGAGGGGTTGCAGGGTGGTTTGGTTTAGGGTAGGATGTTGCGAGAGGTGCTGGGGTGTTGGTTCACGGGGTGAAAGGGGGAGTCTGGGACTGGACAGCATTGCCAGCATCATCCCCAAGATGCAGATGATGCGGGGGAGCGGGGGGGACCCTACAGACCATACCATTGGGGGGAGGGGGGGGGGTACGTGGCCCAGGGACTGGTACATATATACATATGAATAGCAAAACTGATAGAACATGCATAACACAATGGATGACAAACATCCACACCATACATGATCATACATGAAAAGGATTGACCAGCCAACTGACCAGCCAACTGACCACTGACCAACTGACCGATTGACCACCCACCCATCACACGGTACTGGTGTAGCTGCCCACCGCAACACAGCATGGGCAGCTTAGCCCAACACAGTACAATACACAAATATACAGCATAATACAATATAAAATACCACGCAGCACGCTGCAACACAACACAAAAACAGCACAACACAAAACAATATCATACTTGGCCAATGATCAATCCTACACCACGGATTTAAGCACTTTACAGTAGCAACAAAGGCCAAATGAAAAATGCCAAAGGTTGACCCAAATTATAAACCACCAGTACACTACAGGATACAACGCTGCAATGGAAGAACACTGCAGCCAGACAAGACACAAGTCATAGCACAGAAGCTCACACAACGCAACACAAGGCAAGCCAAACAACGCACATCGGAGAAGCAACCAAGACAGCAAACATGTCAAAAAACACAAGCACACTGAACATTCAGCGAACCCACCTTCAAGAATGGGACCACATGACTAACAGCCTCAACATCAAGCCTCCCGCGGCGTCCTAAAGTCCCAAAGGCTTCAGAGCCTTGAGATTGAGGCGCTGATGGGACCAGGGTCCCTGAAGGGATGCGCCCCCAAAGCCACCTACAAACAGAAAGTCTTTGAAACAGCTCAAGGCGATTTCAATATGACCAATATGCATCCTTTAAGGAACCCCAACGGGCTTTCAACTTTCTGTTGCTCCGGCCTTTCGAGGTCCGTCAAGTCCGCAACCTCGGGCCCGCCATGGTGGTGGAACATCACGCTTTGTCTGATATGGGCCGCGTGCATGGCTAGTGACTGAAGGGGGTTCCTTGGTATCACAGAAAGTTGCCCTTAAACCCGCCATCTTCCACAAACATGAAACCGGGTGTTGACAATGACTTGGAGAGTGACATTGGAAGAGGGGCACACATGTTTGACAACTCAGCTGCACCATGCTCAGTGGTTCATTTGTGTTTGTGTTCGGTTCCCAGTTGGATTCGCAGAATGGAACCGTATTCGGACGGCTTTTGGACAGGTTTGGATTGGCGGATTGCGTAAAAAACACCGGCAGGTCGGAGAGATTCGGACGAGGGTTGGAACTCTGGCTCAGCTGTGACGTGTTGTTCTCCTAGCCTTGAAAAGTAGGTCCATTGCGGCGCCCCACCCAAACCAAGAACAACAAACCAGCCGTTGACCGCGGGCACACAAGGGGGTGGGCAGTGCAAGTTTAAAAAAAAAAAAAAAACATCCAAGGCGTACCCAAATGCCATGCTGTGCTTTCTCTCTTCGATCGGAACAGGACGAACCAGCTCGCCCACTTCGTCGTCTGGACCAGGGTCTGAATTGGCAACAAGCACGGTCAACACGTGTCCGCGGCTTTTCTGTAAAGGACATGGGGAAACGTCGTGTCTGGATTTTGTGGGAAACTGGGACTCGTCTTTCCCAAATGGGCCATAGGCAGCTGGACATGCTTGCAAAACCTCATATTATTTGCGAAGTCGTTGGGGGGGTATATTCATTTAAGAGCTGCTTGAAAAGGAAAGGCCAACAAACCAGCCCAACCAGCCAACTGACTGACAAAAAGGCAACAGTCAGGGTTGATTTCTTCCCGTTGCTTCACTTCGAGATGTGCGGGCTACAAGTTCTGAAGCTCCAGCGAGGAGAGAACCATCCACCGTGAGGTGCATGCCCAGTTGAGACCTCAGAGAAACTCACGGTTTTCAAGCAGGGGGTTGGCAAACATACATGCCCCCCGCAGAGGGAACAAACAACAGTCTCAAGAGGGAGTAATTGCTGGGACCTGATTATGCAAACCAGCACCGAGTCCCTTCACCAAGACGATCCAAGACGACTTTCCATGTCAAACAAGGCCCCTTATGAAGCTTGTTCGTCCCTTTAAAGCAACCCTCCGATAGTAGTGATCACTTCCCCTGCCCCAGAATATCCAAAAAATGGAAAATATGGTTCCACAATGCTCTTTCATAGTTCCAAGGGGTGTCTTGCAGATGTTTAAACATTGAGTACTACAATTTGGTGAAACAATCAAGGTTTGACAAGATCACAAAGGCTACCCCCTCAACCCAGGTAGTGACACAACACCGTCCTGAAGAAACACAGCACGAGCAACACAAATTGGCCTTTTACTTTCCTATTGCAAATTGCAGTCCTGTTGGCCAAAACTGGCACCTCCAAAACTAGCTGAGGGAGGGTGGGGGTTCACCAATCAGCGCTAGTCAGTATTTCAGAAAGCAAAAAACAACTTCCCATCCACATGCACCGGAAGGAAAACACGTGGCTGCGAAACCGAAGGCTCAAGGCAAACCTATCGGGTTACGAACCCATGGGCCATCGCCGAAGCCGATACAGGGTTCGCGATGCCCCGCTCCAAGGCGTAAGCCGTAAGAGGCTGAACTAACATTGGCCCCCTTTTGCGATGTGAACAAACTGTTCAGCAAGAAAACGTAGGCTCTGACAACAGCCAATGGGTTGCGAACTCGCCGCAGGAACCCTTGGGCAGCCTTGAACGGGTGTTGGCGCCCTACCACCTGCAAGGGGGCGGTAGGGGACAGTTTTTGCACAAGCTCAGCCCCGGACTCAGACATCAGGATGCTCAGCCTCGGGTGTGAGATGGCTCAGCATGTGAGCTTCGACCGTCAACCTGGCTGCCTCTGCACTTGACGCGCGTGATGGCTTCACATGTTGTGCGACTGGGCCACATGTTTTCATGGTCTCCCGCGCTGGGGCCCGCACACGTCACTCCCTCGATCGCCGGCCTGCAAAACACATTCAGGGGGAAACACATGGGCAACCAACCGTCCAACAGGCTCGAGACCCCCCTACATTCAAGGGAGCCCCGTATGAAGTCACACCCTGGTTGATTTTGATTTTGGTCCCGGTGTCCCCTCAGTGGGAATAGAAAAACACTTTGAGGGGAAGCCGAAGCGGACCCCCCCCCATACAGCAAGCGGCATCCACCCGACCAGCCCCATGCTTCCTTTTGGTCTGGCGAGCCGGGTCATCATGCTGCAAGACTGCAAGTGGCCAAACATGTGCAACACATGTTAAAATGTATTTCTCTAAACTGACCCAGACTTAGGCCCCTGCCAAAAAGCTAACTTGTTTTGCTCCCGCGTGATCATGGTTGGTAGTACCGGCGCAAGTTGCCCAAACCTGAGACAGAGGTGAGGAGGCAACACCAAGCATTACGAGGCCCCAAGCGCTTCTCGCTCGAAAGGAGAAACAAACCAGACCGAATCAGCCTGCAGCATAACCTCCAAAGTGCTGGCGCCGAAGGCCCCGTTGGAGGCATAGCTCCTCCGGTCGCACGCCAAGCTGCCCAATTGGAAACATAGAACAAACTGCATACGCACACACATATGTATATATATATATAGATACTATGTGTGTATAGGTATATCTGCATATCTGTACATCTCTAAATCTGTCTGTATGTATACTGCATATGTGAATGGAGAGAGGTGTGTAAATACACATGTATGGCCTTGCATGTGTGCTTACGCCAGAACGTCCACCTTGCAACAATACCTTACCAACGGAGCCACATGGTGACCTACAGCTTTACCTGGTCCTTCAATCCGCCCATCCCGCCAAATCACTGTATCCCAGGTGCCCAGTGAACCTGGCGATCCTGATGTTCCGGTCTTTTTGCAGGATCACTTCCAATGAGAAACTCACTAAACCCCAAGGGATTTAGAGGGTGCCACTGAACAACTGGGGTAGATGATGGCAGCCGAGGCCCCAACG